CGGCCTCGCTCAAGCCTTTTTGTAGATAAGAAGCAGGACCGGCGCCCAGCTCCTTCGCTCTGGCACTTTGTTTTCCCAGGAAGAAAAGGGCATGCAGCCACACTTCAGCATAGCTTTGAGTAGCTTTGCAACTGACCTGTATTAGGCCAAAAGTTTTTTTCATTATTAATATATATATACATATATACATTAATATATATATATATATATATATATATATATATATATATATATATATATATATATATATATATATATATATATATATATATAAATTCAAATTCAATCCTGGAATCTCTCAATGTCCAGGACAGAATAAGAATATAATATAAAGGCTCAAACACTAATATTCCATGGTTATAATTTATTACATTGGAATCGTAATCACGATCAAATCATCAGACATACAAATTCAGAAATAATATATATATATATATATATATATATATATATATATATATATATATATATATATATATATATATATATATATTTTTGTGTAAGAAACTGTATATGTGCGCGTGCGTGTGTGTGTTGTGTGTGTCTAACTCATGAATATTTTTCCTTTATCACTGAAATGAAAACAAACTGAGGAAGTAAAAAAAAAATTATTATTTCTAAGAAGGTTGAATTAAATTTCATATTTTATGGCACACAAGGAAAACATTCTTCTCTTCCTGTCGATGATAGCCGATGATAGTCGATGATAGCCGATGATAGTCGATGATAGCCGATGATAGTCGAAGATAGCCGAGATAAATTATTGCATCATGAATGCAGAGTTCGGAATCAGTGAATAGAATTAATTAATCGGACACAAATATTGCAATCCATTTTCGAATTACATTATATTTCTAGACACACGGAAACCTTCTCGATTCTTCAGAATTGACAAAACACGGGGTTCTACTTTTCCAGAAAATCTGAAAATCATTTTTATTTTATCGTAAAATGACACAAGTTATGATTTTCAAAAGTGCAAAAAGTATTCATTCTACTGATAATTTATTTATAGTTTACCCATATGACAAATTCTATATTCCCAAATGAAATCGGATATATTTATTCCTGGCAGCTTCCTCTTCATATAAGAAACGGATAGCGAAGCGTTCACTTACTTCCTCCCACCCAAAAGTAATGATCAATTGAAAAGTATTTTTTTTTTATTTGTTTTATAATCTAACCCCAACCCATGAAAATTCATTAGTCATTTAATAAATATATCCTGTAAGTTCAATCAATCAATCAGTGACGTTATCTCTCTGTTAACCACAGATCTTGGCCCCTTTTAACGAAATTTTATGGCTGCACTAGTTTACAAATAAAAATAAAAGATCCGTGAAGCATACGTAGATTTTATTAATATATTAGCACACACGCACACACACACACGCATATATATATATATATATATATATATATATATGAATACATAAAAATGAAACTCAATTGTACCCAATTTTTATGGGCATTTCGCTCCCATAGAGCTTGTCAATACTAAAGCTTTTGATAAAAGAAAAATGATCATAACGTTTTTTTCTTTTAAATTAATTTTTTTAATTTAAAATTAAAAAAAAAAAACTTTAAGATTGATTTTTTTTACCAAACGTTTTAGTATTGACAAGCTCCAAGGAATTTCTCCCGGGGAGCGAAATGGCCATAAAAATAGGGTATAGTTGAGTTTCGTTTTTATGTGTTCATTTCTATGCTCTATAATAAATATACTGAGCTCTCTTTTGTGGATCAGTTTGAATGTTTTATATTAATAAGATTCACTTGGATTACTTATATACGGATTTTTACATATATATATATATATATATATATATGTGTGTGTGTGTGTGTGTGTGTGTGTGTGTGTGTGTGTGTGTGTGTGTTGCGTGTGTGTATGTGTGTGTGTATAGAGAAAGAGAGAGAGAGATACACAGTTTCAAAACCTACTGTGGGATCTCACTGGTGCAGATTTCTTTCAGTTGGTTGTTATATTCTAAGATCATATGCAACATGTAAATAGAATAACAAATAACAACAATGAACAGCGAAAACACATCCAAAACTCATGTCATTTATTTGAAGGTCCATCGTTTGTGATGAACGAATGATAAATATTAATAACAAAAAAAAATATAAAAAAATTTTGGTCGTATTTTTAAAAAATTGAGCAACTTGAACATTTGTATATAAATGTGTGTGTATATGTACGTGTGGGAATGCTCACGCGCGTTCGTGTACTTCCTGTATAAGTATGGCGGAAAGTTATATGTCTTTGTATTTGCTACACATTCAATCTCACATTCAATGTGAGTAAATATTTATAATAATAACAAAAAATATAGTGGGTAGGTGAGGCTGTGCAAATATCGATATAAATGCGTTTTTTAATCTACGAACGACTATTGTTATGTATTTGAATGTTTGAGAAGTCCCCCCACACACACACGTACGCACGCATAAACGCATATATGTGGAAGGGTGCTGAAAAAATCTCGACACTACTCAT